TTTTTCTTGCTTTCCTTTGTTACCTTGTCTAGGAGGTACTGTAGTTTTCTTTATGTGTCAGTGATGAACATATCATCTGCATATCTTATGGTTTTAAGATTATCCCCATTGATAATAAATCCTGGTATTTTCTCGAACTCCCTTAGGATTGCCTATGCTGTAGAAGTTTGATAAATCAAGAGAGAAAACACATTCTTGTCTTACACCCCTTTTCTATTTTTGGATAGACAAGTTTTAATTTTTTCTTTTTGATTGGTAGAATAACTTGAATGATTTTCATCATTTTCCCATTTGCTCTTTTTAAATCTGTTAAGCTAGAAGTCATGGTCCAAATGCAAAATAAATAACACAACTGTCCAATCAACAGAATTAATAATATTTGCAATAAAAAGAAAGGAGGGAAAAAAATTAAATGGTATCAGGCAAGCAAGCAAACAATATGAATAAAGCAAGTTTACAGGTAAGAAAGCAAAAAGGTTTATGAACCACAAATTAGTGTCTACATAGTAAAGCTTGGTCAGACAAGTGAATCCAATGATCTTCCATATAGACAAGGTAGATCTGGACTGAGTAAACTCATGTTATAAATTGATCTATTGACTAAGAAAAGTATCCCAGCATGCATTTTGTGAACTTTTGCCTATAAAAGTGGAGTGGGAAAACTTTTTCAGTCATACCATACAGATTGGAAATCAACAAAATCATTTCACCCAAAGCAATTTAATAATGCCACTAAGATGTAAGGGGTTACTGGGTGTGGAATAATATGAAGAAAGATTTATTATATTATTAAGGAGAGAAAATAACAAAAGAACAGTAATTAAGAAGACAGAAGATAACGATTGACATTGCATTTAAATTTTTGAGGATCAAAGTTGAAGAAGAAGTGAAAAGTGGGAAAGAAGAAACTGTTAGTGTAGAAATTATGTTTGCATCTAGCCATGTCAAGGTACCAAAGAACAATTAAAATGAAAATATTTACAGAAAAGGCAAGAACTTCTGTTATGGTGATGGGAAAGTGATTGAAGCTGAGATGCCAACTCAGGACCAATAACATTGCAGATTCTTCATTGAATTTTATCATGAATCTCTAAATACATAGCAGAAGTACCAAACCAGATGTGATAGGGATATCAATGCATGGATGAATGGTAGACCTATAAGGTAGATTCTGGTGTGAAAAATTGTCCAGTACAACACAATGAACCAACTTTCATAGCAGCAGAAATAAATAGTCTATAAACACTTTATGGGTTGTATTATAAGGTCCAAGTATGGCAGAATCTATAAATACTTACACACTTGGTGGGTATCATAACAGGTACTTGTCTCATACGTGTATTTAGAAAGTAATTCCGACTTTTTGTCCAATAGTCTGTCTTGCTGGAGGAATTTTAAAATGAATAATTTCTCTTCCTGGTATAATCCTCAGGATTTAGATCCTGATTTCCTGAAAATTGTTCATGCTACCATTAGTATTTCTTTGTCTTTCAATTCCCACAAATGCAAATAGGGAAGGAAAGTATCATGTTGTGCAAGTTGGGGTAAAAATTTGGCACATCCATAAAAAAAAGCTTTTTTTTTTTTTTTTTTTTTTTTTTTTTAAATAATGGTCACCTAATACAAGGCACAAGAGCCACTCAAAGTAGAGGGTTTATGAATGTGGCTGTTGTATAAGCTTAAGAAGAGGAAGTAAGAAGTGCAGTTTATGATATGTAAGAAGGATAATGGTTAAACCTAGAGTTGAATAGGTTAAGATTGTCATGATTGGCAAAGCATCCTCTCAGGAGTCTGTTCCACAAAGTAGCAGAAGAAGCTGTCTGAGTGGAACTTTTTTCTTACTAATGGAATATGAAGGGAATAGGGATGGTTCATCCCATTGTATGTGGAATGGTGTAACTGTGAAGGCCAGAACTGGTGGAACTAAGGAATCTAGCTCATCAGAACATTTGTCATACATATAGTGATGAAGTGTAAATCCAACATTTCATATTCTAGAAATAATTAAGATAAATTACAAAAATTTCTTGAGGTTTATCCAGATTGGCAAACACCTGAAGGAGATCAGATATCATAATGGCAAGAATATAGTGATAATGACAACGAAGATGAGAACTGTAAACCGAGTGTCCAGTTCCTTAATTTGAAAATGGTATTTGTACAACAGAAAATAGACTAGATGCAAGAAGATTTCTAACTCCAACTGCTACTAAAGCTATCACACAAACTACCTACTCAATACAGTGTTCTTTATTTATACCAGGCATGCAGATGTAGTAAACACAAAAATTTACATGTATATTTAACAGAAAAATGCTCTTCTCTATTTGAAAGCATGTTATTTGAAGAATATAAAATTCCTAATAACTTAGTAATCCTACATGCTTAAAACCTGAAACTTTCCAGATTAATAATTTGATATATTTTTTTAAATGCTGTGCAATTTTTATCTTCCTCAGTAGATTTGAAGTTAATTAAATTTTATTTTAAATTGGTATTCACTCAGTAAGAATATTGAATTTCTTTAAAAAGAAGTTTATATAATTCACAGAACATGCTGAAGCCAAGAGAAGTAAAAGGAAGCATCAAATAACATAATAAATTTGAGTGAAAGGATGGCAGAACAAGGGCAAAGAGAGATGCTAAAGGGTCAAAAGTTATTTGAAGAAAAAAAAATGACAAGAAGTAGTGAAGAGCTATGTTCACCCGTGTCTTAAAACCCAAACTCAAACAAAAACATTGTTTTCAATCGTTATGAGTCTACCGATTGAATAGAATTTTATTATAAACAATTGTCTTGTAAATGGAATTTTTAAAGCATTCTGAATTAAAAAATAAAGTAAAAAGTGTGCAAGACAATAAGAAACACTACCTGCCAAAAAAAAGTGAAGTTTTGTTGAAATCGGTTGAAAAATGTAGGAAATCCAATCCCATATATAAATGAACACACACACACACAACCTGGGTTTTATAAGTATAACTCGATATGAGTTGTTCCCCCCTCATTCCACGAAAGCGATACCTCTTAATCATGTTTTCAAATTGATTTCATGCAAAACCAATGGTGTTTTTCCAATTTTTGTCGCTGTCAAAACCACCGTAAGGTAATTTTACGTAGTTCTGTGAAGTTTTTTTGAAATCGGTTGAAAAATGTAGGAAATCCAATCCAATATATAAACGTACAGACACACACACACATACACACACACACACACACACACACACACACAACCTGGGTTTTATAATAAGTATGATGTAAGTCTCTTAGTAATTTTACTTCTTACTTTTTATATCAATTTTTCTGCTGGAGTTCGGAAAAAAAGTATTTTTATAAAACATTTCAATTCTGCTACTTTGTGGAACAGACTCCTGAGAGGATCTTTCCCAGTCAGTACAATCTTAACCTGTTCAACTCTAGGGTCAACTGTTATTTTTCCTACATATTATCTTAAACTGCTTTTTTAAGTAGACAAATTTTTTTTAATATACTTTAGAAAATAAAAGACCAGTTTCATTTGCATCAGGATATTAAGTGCAAAATAAAATCATTTTCTCTCATATCAAACAAGTGTGTGTGCTGTGTCGATTCTATGGAGGGGACAGAAAGCCCCCCCTCCCCACACTTTTTTAAGTTTTCTAAAGGAAAAAAATCAGAGCAGAGAAATTACACTGTTCTGCTAGTATTGACATTACTATTAACCCTATTTTGTTTTGAAGTTAACAGCTTGAGAATGGAAAAGAGGGCAAGAATAGATTAGAACTCCACTATTATGAATGAAAATTTATTCCGTTTAACTTAGTGAAGTAATATACTTATACTAAAATTCATTCCTAAGTTGTGTATACGATATTGGTGTAGTATGAAAATAAAGCCGCTGTTTGAATTTGTCCCCCTCCCCCTTCTGCAGAACAATATCGACCCTCGAGTACCCGACCACTTTCAGAATTCTAGAATCGCCACTGTAATATATATATATATATATATATATATATAGATATTGCCACTTACTTTTGTGTGCATGTATATATATATATATATATATATATTGGCAATAATGCCATCCCAAATTTCCAGGAACCAGTTCTATAAATGCAGGTAATCTTTAGGAAGCTATTCTGCTTATTTTCTTTTCAATCTGAGAATGGAAACAAATCATTTTATATTATAAAAACAAGTAAACCATTATAATAATTTAATAGAAAACATTTATTTATTAAGATATTTCCAGATTGAAATTCTGTTCTCATCATATTTCTGTTCAGAAATATGATACTTTTTGATTCTAGTGACATCAGTTGTGCTACAATTTATTAACCACATTTAATCTGAATCACTGTAGTCCCAAAGATCCAATGGAAGACCTATCAGATTTACGACTAGAAGATTTGGCACATTTTTAACTTCAAAATGATTTCTTCTGTCATCACAGAAGACCCTCTTTTAGACTCTGCAGAACTTACAGCAATGGTATTAATTCTATTTTTAGCTGTTATATATCGACTATTAATGTAAAAGATTACTTTTGGATAATCCCTCAGTTCGTTAAGCTTTTATAATTTTAAGAATCTGTTCACGTGAACAGGTAGGATGCCACCACTGTATATAGGGTTGTTAGATAAATTTGTTTTTTCTATTTATTTTAAGCCTATTATTCAACAATTTTAACAAATCAGCCAATAATATAGAACAATCAAAATTTGTAGAGGAAGATAAAAGCTACAAAAAAAAAAATATGCAACACAACAGTAAAAATATTTTACTTGTTAATTTAAACAACTTTTGGAAAAAATGAAAAAAATTATCTGTCAAACCAATAATGTTTTGAAATATTTTAAAATATAAAAGGATTTTAATATTGATCAATTTCTATTTTTAGATGATGTCTAACAGCAAAATTGCTACTGGGTAAGGAAAATATTGTTTTCTATCTATTGATTTTTCTTTGTTTTTTTTGTTTTTTTTCTTTTTTTTTTTCTACTGTCCTCAAGAGTAAAAGGGCTTACGGCCATGTCATGTTGAAAAACCTGTTCCCATATGATTACTGAAGTTAAGCAACATTGAGTCTGGTTAGTACCTAGATGAGTTACTGCTTGGGAATACCAGGTGCTGTAAGCTTGGGTGTGTGGGTAGTGTAATGGATGGTGGCTTGGAATTGTTAATCAGAGAGCAGAGTTCCAATTCCCACTAGGTTTGTTATATTCACTTATGTGCAAATACCTTGGAAAAAGTATGAATGTACATTTTCTTCCTCCAGCTATGGGTTAATTAGTAAGACTTATATTATTAAACCATTATTATATCCAAAAAAAGATTAAAATAATTTCTGACTTTAAATAACCTGCAAAGGGTTGATAAGCCATAGAAAATGAATAAATGAATGAATGAATGAATCAATCAATCAATCAAATGCCTTTTGTTTGAAGTAGTGTGGAATGTTAACATTTTGATTATGTTATTATTTTCTCTTTGAGTTAAATGTGATATCCATTGTAGTTGTTGTTGTTAAAAATTCTCAAGTGATATATTTTCTGTTATTTGGTACAGTTCTTTTGTTTGCCATTCTGTAGTGCGAGTCCAACTAAATATACTATTAGATATATTGTTTGTATATGTGGTAATGGTAATACTAGCCATTTCCCTACAAGGAAACATTTAACATTCATTGACCTAGATGCCAACAGTGCTTTCAGTTGAACTTTATAAAATCTTTCTCTCAAAACAATTTTTCAGGAAAATAAGTTTCTCAAGTCCAGTAGCTCTTATTGCTCTTTCCAATATTGATGGAAGTTTCCTTCCTAACCTTTTATTTGAAGTAGTGTGGAATGTTAACATCTTGATTATGTGATTATTTTCTCTTTGAGTTACATGTGCTATCCATTTTAGTTGTTGCTGCTGATGGTAGTCCTCAAGTGATGCCATTTCTGTTATTTGGTACAGTTCTTTCTTTGTTATTCTGTAATGTCTGTTCACAAGTTTTGAATGCTATTCAAAAATATCATAAAGCATTTCATTTCATAAAGCATGTTCTGCTCAGTATTATCTTTTAAAATTTCTGTAATTTTTTTTTCTAAGAAATTTTGGGTAATTCAATGACAAAATGAAAAAAAAACTAAATGTAATGCATTTCAACTTCTAAAAGGACTTCATCAGACTTCATTAGAGGATGCAACATGTTAGTTTTTTTCTATCTGAATTTCTCAGATGAGGAGTTATTACTATTTATATTATTTACATGTGAATTATTATCCTCATTTTTGTTGTTGATTGCAATAGTCTATGTGTAAATAATGTAAATATTTTTTCCATTTCGTAATTCAGTTACGCAAAATTGTTTTGATATATAGAAATTTATATATCATATACATCCTATGAAATTTTGGCAAACTTGGACCTTTGTGCACACCAAAAAAAATGTGCAAAAAGGACAGTTGTTCCATTGACACTGCTATTATTTTAAACTTCGACAATGTTTGTTGATTAAAAAGAGATGATTAGAATTATAATAAAACTTAAACATATGATAAAAGCGAATTTATACATTTTTTTTGTTCTTGAGAATTTATAACGAAAATATTAAACACTATTTATTAGATTGTTTATTTATAAGAATAATTTTATATTTACAACATTCTAAGAAGTAATAAAATTAAAACTAATGCAATATTTATTATTTACCAATTTATAAAAAAATAAATATGAAAACAAATTTTTTATTAATAAATTTATAAACATTTACCAAATTATCAAAATATGTGAACCAACTATAAGGAAATTCTTATTATTTACCATTTTATAAAGTTTGAATCAATTGGCAGTTAGCAAATGTTTTGCCAATTACTCCAATAAATGATATAAATAGTGTTTATTATATTTCTTGGCAATTCTCAAGGACAAAGAAAATGTATAAATTCATTATGTTTCAGTTTTATTACAATTCTAATCATTGCTTTTTAAAACAATAAACATTGCCAAGGAGTGAAGGTAGTTAAAATAATGATGGTGTCAACAATGGAAAAACTAAAATTTTGCTATTCTGTATTTTTGTGGGCATGAAGGTCCATGTTTGCCAAATTTTTTTTATATACTTTAGTTAAGCCATTCATCAAAATTCCTGTAGATTACTGTGATCAATTAGTTAAGTGCCATATGTGATACACACTCGGACAATCAAGTCTCTTTCAATTCTTGACTGACTAGGCAGAAGATTTTGCCAGAGTTGGTTGCCATTCCTTTCTTGGGTAGACTGGTTACCAATCAAGGCTATAGGACCCAGTCTATCCTGGTATTCAACTCATAGCTGAGGGATGAATAGATGGATACTTATGTTTCCCAAGAGCATTTGTACGTAATGTAACAAACCCGACTGGATAGTGGACTGGATAGCAGCGTCAATGGAAAAACCATCATGTTGCTACTCTTTTTTTTTTTTTTGTGAGTACAAAGGTCCATGTTTGCCAAAATTTTTTTAAACATTTTAGTTATGCCATTTATAAAAATTCCTCTACATTACTATAATCAATTAGTTAAGTGCCATATGTGATACACACTTGGACAATCATGTCTCTTTCGATTCTTGACTGATGAGACAGATTTTGCTGCAGTAGGTTGTTGTTTCTTTCTGAGGTAGACTGGTTGCAAACCAAGGCTATAGGATCCAGTCTGTCTTGCTATTCAACACATAACTGAGGGGAGGGAGAAGAGAGTAATGCATACCTTTACCTAGAGTATTTGCATGTAACTGAATATAACAAACTTGACTGGAATTAGAACTCAGCTCTCACTCCAAGCCAATATCCATTAAATCACAATGCACATTCATTACTACAATACTGCTTTAATTATACTGCTTTCGTTTCTAGTACAGGATTCATCTATAATGATGAAGTCACCAAGCACTTTTGTATATGGATACCTGAATTTTCCGAGCGTCCAGAACGAATTACTTTACCCTATAAAAGATGTCAAGAGTTGGAACTTGTTGAGAGATGTGTATGGATTGAGGTAAGTCAAAACATAAATGTTAATGACAGAAACAATTTACTAGCAGTGAAATTTCTTTGTTTAAATAAAAGAACAGTGAATAAGTTGCACAAAAAAGAAGTCTGAATATAATAGATGCATTACATAATTAGTGTGAAAGCTTAGCAAAAGCTTTGTTGGTTGTTAAAAATCATACTGAGTAAATTGTTTAAGAAAGGATGAAGTATTCAGTAATATGCACAATAGTTTCAAGTTAGGTAGAGATTAAGGGAATAGAAGAAAATAGCATAAAAACAGATTTTATTGCTAAAATGTATGTGGATAAGTAAAAAATTATCCACACTTTTGCCATAATTAGGTTTATCACACCGCCTTCTGCTCGTGTGTGCTTATTGTTGGTACTATTGTGGTCACATGATTAAAATTTGAACTTGATCCTCACCAGTTTTTTTTTTTTGCTGTTGTTACAGTGTAAACATGGCCACTGTCTAGCAGTGTGCACCAAGGAGGAACAAATAGCAGTGATCCAATTTCTCCAGTTGGAAGGTGTGTCAAGGGCTGAAATTCATCAGAGGCTTTTGACACAATACAGCAACAGTGCACTACTATGTAGAAGTGTGTATGACTGGATTGAGAAGCTTAAAAGTGTGTGGTCAAGTGTGACACACGAAGAAGAAACAGGACACCCATCAACTGCCATCACTGATGAGAAGATTCAGCAGGCTCAAGAGATGGTAATACAATATGGTAGCATGTTCACTGCAGATTTGGATCACTGCTCTTTGTTCCTTCTTGGTGTATACTGCTAGTGGAGCAGCCATGTTTACACTGTAACAGCAGTAAGAAAACTGGCACAATCAAGCTCAAACTTTGATCAGGTAACCACCAACTACAATACATGAGCAGAAGATATTGTGACAGACCTAAAGATATGTTATAGCAAAAGTGTGGATAATGTTTGACTTACCCTTGTAATACCCAGGGTGGCCCAAAAGCCACCAAGGATTTTTAATATTAAATAACTCCTTTATTTTTTAACTTTAATTCACAATACTATAGTATTCTACAGAGTAGATAGTGGAAATAAATTTATACTAGTTGTGAAAGATTACATATTTTAAGTAGCATCCATTTTCAGTTTTGCATGAATGTGTCCTTTCTAAAGCATTTTCTATCTCAGAACTTTGTGTTTTCTGTCTTTAGTGTTCTAGTTTCTCTCTGAATGTTGTTCTTCAGCTGTTGGAGAGTCTGAGGCTTGTTTACATAAACCTTTTCTTTGGGACAGCCCCATAGAAACAAATCAAGGCTTGCCAGATTCAGGAGAACATGGTGACCAGTTTATGCCACAACCACAAAAAAATCATTCTTTTCCTCAAAATTTGCTTGAGAAGCTGGATTGTGACCCTTGCCATTTGAGCCATCTTTCCATCTTGTTGTATGGAAAAAGGTTGATGCTTTTAAGAATTCACTGGAGTGATGTTTGAGAGATCCAAACCTATCAAGACTGCTTTTGAGTTGCTGTGCTTGGATCTTCTTTGATAATCTCCCTTATTCACTCAACTACTCCTTTGTTCATAACTAAACATGGCCTGCTACTTTGTGGAAAGTTACTTACTGAATCTTTACTCTCAAAACTTGGAGAATCTCTCACTCTGTAAAGGCAACAATATACTCATTGAGTTTGAATTATTGAACCTTCATTTTGGTAGAAACATTTCACTACTTGTGTTTGTTGTTTAATCATGTATTTTACATAATTCATTTCCAAAGCCTTCTTTATATAATACCTAAAAGAAAAATAATAAAAGTTAATAAACAAAAAAATTGTTAAACTTTAAGACACCTTGGTAACATTTGGGCCACCCTCTGTGTGTGTATGTGTGTAATTGACATGTTTTTAATCATTAATTTATACATTTATTTTGCTTTCTATTGGTGATTTTCTTAATGGATTCATTTGGTATATGTTTTTCTGTTCACTTTATTAGTTTATTTTTAGTTAATTTTGAATTAATTCTCATTTAGAGTTGTACTGGCACTAAAGATCAAGCCTTGTTGCAACACAGTGAAGAACTGATCCAACGTTTAATTGACTCTGAAAATTTTGATGAAGATCAGCTGAAAAGTTTTTCA